TTTTTTTTGTATTTTTAAAAAGATTATTATTAAGTTTGTTCTATTTCTATTTCCGATTAGATGAAGAAATATATTGAGGCTCGAAGTAATGAGTGTAAATGTGAATATTGAATGTATTCTATGACATACTTTATTTTTGAAGTATAAAAAAAAATTAATTAGGACTTGTTTCGATGATGAGCCCAAGAAAACCACTTTCTGATATATCACGATGGATTCACATTAATTTTAATAGGAAAGAATTCTGCCTTGTTTGGGTGGGTGGGTGTGAGTGATGAATTCAAGAGAACTACACCCTCATTCACACACACACCCACACCCTACGTCACTTCTCAGACATAAATAATGTAAATCGAATATCCTAAGTATTATTAGTAATACCAGATATTTTATTTCTAAAGATGCTTCTCTTCAATAAAATACTCTTTGATTTCTTTCAATCAATTTTATTTAATCATAAAATATTTACAACAAAAAATACTTCAGTGTATTAGTTAGTACGAAATATATTAACAATCATCCCAGTAATCATAACCGAAATCCTTTAGTATTGTATAAATGATCTGTTCGCATATCATTGTCAAATTCCTTTTTCGAAGCATCCATCGTATCATCACAAGAACGTTTCATTTTATTTGTATCAACCGATGGCCATGGTGCATGATCAATTATATAGCCAACAAGACGAATACAGTCAGATGCATATTTTAATGGTTCTTGCATATGTGAATGCCAAATTATATCAATCTATTCAAAGAAATAAAGTTCTGCTGCTCTCTCATATCTATATATCACGTAAAGGATCTTACCGCATATGTTGGATGTATAAAACTATATCCATTTGATGGTGGATATTTTGTTGCCATATATAAAAATCGTTTATAAGATTTCTTTAGTCTTGTTATTGATACTTTACTGAGATCAATGTCATCATCATATGGATAATAACCACGAACAGGTACTGTTGATATCATTTCTTTCATATATTTTGTACATAAATCAAGCCAATTTCCATCAAGAATAATATCAGCTTCTGTAAATGAAAATGGATTATCATCATGATTAGCTGATGATACTGATGAAAAATCAAAATTTGTTTCATCCCAATATGAAT